GACCGGGATCGGGGTCAGACTGCTGTTGGGACAGGAGTACGGGTCGGGGTCAGACAGGGACCAGATGGGGCTTTGGAACGGGAGCGGGACCGGTGTCAGGATCGGGACCGGGGGGTGTCGATCAGAGCAGGACAGGTTCTGAGACTGGGGCCGCGATCGGGATCAGACCGAGACCAGGACCGGAGTCAGGATCAGACTGGGACCGAAGTCGGGATCGAACCAGACGCGGGGCCAGGACCGGAGTGTCGCTGCCCCGTTCCAGGGGTGGCGTTCCCGTGCTGTGCCCCCAGCCCCGAGCAGCAGCTGCCCCGGCACTCTGCCCGCTGTGCGAGTAGCGGGACCGGGGGCTCTCAGAGGGGCTCCCGTCCGAGCAGCTCCTGCCGACCGGGAGCACCGGGACCGGGAGAGGGGCGCTCACAGCCCGCGGCCACAGGAGACCCTGCAGGCAGACCCTGCCCGACGCCGCGGGGATTTCCCAGGCCAGGCCCACGGGAGCCGGGGCCAGAAATCCCCTTCTCTCCGCAGCCGCCCCCTTTGCCCTCGAGATTCCCCAGGGACCCTTCGTGCTCCCGGGTGAGTCACTTCTGGGAAGTGACATTGGGCCGGGGAATCCAGAGCGCTCGGTTCCAGTTCTCGCTGCCCGCGGGGAGCGCGCTGCCCTTCTCCCCGGGAGCAGCTGTGACCTGGGCGGTTGTGGCAGCAGCCTCCGGCCGGGGCCGTGACCGTGACCGGGCAGGCGGCTGCTGCCGTGTGTCCTCTCCGGCAGTGCCATAAGTGACCGGGGCACCGAGGTGACCGGGGCACCGAGGAGCCACCGTTCGCTGCCCAGCCACCGCAATGCCAAGGGAAGTGCCGGGAACGTCTCCGGAGCGGGCAGGGATCCTGGAAGTTCCCTGGGGGTGGCTGGGAACCACTTTGGGGAACTGAGACGAAGGTACAGCGACGGCAACGCACTGCTGCCCCTTCCCCTTTCAGCGCTGACGTATTTGTGGGACACTCCGCACAGGCCAGGGCTCTTGGCGGCCCTGGGGGGCTCTCCAGGGCTGCAGCCAGAGGGGCTCTCCTTGACCACAGTCGGGGGTGCCCTCCAGGGCGACAGCTCAGGGGCTCTGAAAGGCTAAATAAGAAAAAAACCCCAAAAAACCCTCTCTGAGCTGCTGTTGGAAAGAAGAAGTGAAAGCTGGAGCTCCTGCGGGGGGGCTGCACAGGCGCTCCCCTCCCATCCCCACGGACCCCGGCCGACCCCTGCCCGTGCCCCTGCCC